ATTTGTATTGCGCCCATTTTTGTAAGTGAACCAGCAGCCTCAGACGTCGCAATAGAGTTAAAAACCACACCTGAGCACTGACTTCTTCATTGCCGACATTATTTTACAAACAGTGTGTACGGCATATAAACATCGATTTCCCATCTAACCAGTCTATTTGAAAAGAATAACTATAAAAATATAAAGTGAAAATAGAATTGTCTCTGCGCCACGTCCCATACATAAAACTTACTAGCCTCATAAAAACCCCATCGCCGCGGTGCTTCGTACTTGTCCCAACGCATCAATGATTGTATTTTTATATACTTTAACCGGAAAATGGAGTTTAGTAAATTATTACCTGCTAGTCACTAATCACTGTCAGTTTTTCAGAGCTACGATGCACTTTGGATTGTATGATAATCGCGAAATTAGAAATTTTGTATTGCCTTAACGCAAACAGAAACTTTGCAGAAACATGGTAGTTCATTTTAAGTTCCTTCAATGATTTGGAAAGGAACTCGTACAGAAACGAAGCCAAAAATATTCAAGTTGATATTATATTATATGATTATATTTAACATTAAAATTAAAAAAAACAAAAGGTTAGAACCTACATTATAAGAAATACATTGTAAAATGTAACAGTAGGTACAATGTAAAAAGTAACAATTTAAAGAAAGTAACAAATAAATCAATATACCTAAGAATATTTTTGCTTATTTTCTTTTTCGTTAGGTACAGTAGCGGACAGTAAAAAGTCTCTACACTAACGCCTAATTATTTCTCACCCTGATCTTTGAAGGCAAGTTGAAATTAAATTATTTCTGTTCATATTTATTTCAAATTAAAATTTTTCTTCTCCTCGTTCTTCTCTCATACCAACTACGCCAAGTTTGTATCCTCATTTTGTTATATAACAGTGTTTCAAGAATTTACTACCATTTTAGATACATTTTAAGTTTTACATCCGTTTTAACTAAGAAACATATAAGTCTTGCTTGTTTTTAATGTTATGCTTATGCCTTTTATTAAAACATTTAGGTATAAAATTTCATATAACACATTTTGTGCATTTTGTAACTTAAAATATCATATTGTCGGTGCTTTTATTCTTACATACTACCTACATTCTATTTTGATTCACTTGAGGCTGCTTTTCCTCAATTGATATTTTGACTTATCGGATTTTTACTAGATTACGGGTGTATTTTTGTACAGTTTACTCGTCAGTCATTAAATACTATCTGTTTTAAGACATATGATAATTACAAAATCAAGAATTAGGTGTTACCCAAATGGAGACAAATGGAGATTTTTATGCTTTTATGCTTTTATTTAGACTTTTTATCTTCCGTCGATGATTTAGAAAGAGTCTCGTACAAGAATGGCTTCAAAAACATTCAAGTGAAGTGGATAAAAACATACTTACACTGATAAAAAGAATTATGTAAAATTCCCCGTAAATATCCATGTAAAATTGAGTGCAAAATTATTTGTTCATCAAAATTACATAAAACATGTAATTTCTCACATTTTGCACAGTTGTCAATTATTTAAAATGAATTGGTATCATCCAATTGGTTAAGCCAAATCAGTTCACTGTAAATTAACGCTAGGGCTGTTTACATTAAAAATAGTAAGAACACGAAAGATTTACACTAATACATTTTAAAATGTAAGACTAGATACAGTGTAAAATGTAACAATATAAAGTAACAAGTAAATATATTTAGAAATAGTGCAGTCAAGTAAATACCTAATTTTTTACTACGTGCTGTCATTTTTACATTTTTTGTGTGTAAAATTGTGTAAAATTGAGTACTTATATAATAATTCACAATGTTTATTATACACAAATGCTTCATCTATGGTTAAAAACTGAATTGCTTGAAGAATAAGTTCGATCTAAACTGCTCTGGTCCTTTATAAAATAATTTTTTTTTATTCCTCTTTTTTTATGCACAGCACCTTTGCTAATATTGCAAACATTAATATTATGGAAAAAACCTCCAATTACCCCAGCCTCATGAATCACTAGCCCTCTAATTATTTCTCACCCTCAATTCGGCTATTTCCAGGAGTCTCCTAATCCGATTACGCTGCAAAAATTACTGAAAAGGCCCGAAACGCATCATTCATAATTCGGCAAAAGATGTCGCGCTATCAATGAATCATCAATCGAAATACGCAACTAAATTAATGGATAAATCACCCCCTTTAGTTTTTACCCCCATATAATTGAAGCCCGAGAAACAATATGCGCACTGTTGCGATGTATTGGGGGGGTTGCAATTCTGTTATCGTCGCAGTGGCCTACGTACGGGGGTTGCGTGAGCAACTGTCACTTGTTTACCTTACAAACAATGCCTTCTAGTGGGTTAAGTTCTTGGTTTATTTATGGCTTTGAACGGTTGTAACAGCGCTTGTGGTCGACTGGAATTTTTTTAGAAACGGAAAGGAAAAGTTACCCTGTCTTTCTAATTTTCACTCGAAATAAATAATTTAAGAATAAAATCCCACTGTAAGAAACCATATTTTTTAGAAAAAAAAAATTAGGGGCATTAACATTTTAGTTTTCATACTTAAAGCCAACCTAATTTTAGGTGTCCACAATTCAGAGGTTATTAACAGAAAGACATTTTTCATATAATTCCTTTATTTTGTACTAATAGAAACATATTTAATTTAAAATTATAAAATGATATTATATACACCACGTAGATATTGTTATTCATTTGAGCAACATTGAAAGAGATTTTCAACCAGTTTAATTTCAGGATATAAGGGAAGTAAGGTAACAGTATTACACTTTTTTTTGTCTTCTGTTTAACAAATAATTTTTTTCGTAACTAACATTGTTTACTGAATAGGAACGGTGTTACATTAAGATTGGTAGTGGTACAAAGTAAGCAAAAGTTAAATCAAAACATACAAATATATATATAACAACAAAAACTAACTAAAATAGTGTGTAACTTATTCTTAAGGTTCTAAAATAAAACTAATAAAATACAGCAGGTACTAGTGTTACTATAATGTTACTGTTATTTCGATTTTGTTGCAACACTATTCTCTACACATACTACCAAGAATTAAATAAAAATTATAAATTATCTGTCATTGATAAAGGTTATGTTACTACCACACGATGTGACATACATTAGCGGCAGTATTCAGTATTTGGAACTCGAATACTTTACTCGTGTAACACATGATGTTTCAATTATTATTTTAAGAAACAAAATATTGTGTTTTTAAATTATAAAATTTAGCTCTTCTGAACTGAAATGAATATAGGAAAAACATTACAAATGTAACGCCATTTCCTCTGGAACACTGTTGACGCACTTCCACAACAACCGATTACACAAAACCATACATAAAAATTTTGGATGTTTTTCACCGAAAACAAATTCAGTTTATTTACAGAACTTTAAACATTGGAACTACAGCTAAAATTTGAGCGGGAAATCTACACTATCGCTCCATTATCGCAATCCGCAATGGCTTTTGCTGCCGTTCACTACTATTGTTTGTTTATTCAGCTTATCTTTACGGCAAACAGACTAGAGAGTTTGTTTTGTTTTACAAAGCCCGCCAAATTTTATCTGCAAGACAAACAGGGTAACTAAAATATTCAATGTCTGCTTGATGTTATCAACACACTGGCAGATATCTGCATAACTTTATCCATAGTCACACATCTACAAACCAAGCAAAAATTTAACGGCTTGGTGTGATTTGGTGTCCTTAATAAAAGTGTTTGATATTTCTGTCAGGTATAACAATAAAAATAGGTACTGTCCGGATTATCTTTTATAACTTTGGAAGCCCGCTTTCTCCGCCCAAAACTTTATAACGGCCATAAAATAATTCACCTACTACGCCTAGCTTAATGAATCCTTTTCTTAATTCCAAATAAAACTAATCTCTACTTGATTTGTCACTTGAAACCAGACAAGTGAAAACACGGCTTATATCTAATCGCTTGTAAAGGGAATTGTTTCGCCGCTATAAACGAGTAGGTATATTTATTGATATTGTTTAATGTAGATACCAGGCAGGAGTTTTTAACCGATAAGTGAATGATTATTGATGCATCTTGGCCTGCGGGGAAGCAGTTTGTTTCGACTTAAGTCGTAAGTGGGTATTACTCAAAATAAATATTTTTATCTCTTTCTACATCAACACCTTCATATGTTAACTTGTTCCTATATACAAGTAAATACTACACTACTTATTACAAGCGCAGGGAACTACATGCTAAGACTACCAGCACTGCTTTACAATTTCTCTTTAGCTTAGTTTTTCAGCGGGAAATAACTTTGAAATTAATAATTCCTATTCATATTTATTTCAAGGGTTTCAGGTGTATCAGTTACTAGTATTTTCTCATCACAACTACGTGAAATTTGCGCATTCATAAATAAAGCAACACAAAATACAGCGCTACAAGAATTAATTACAGTTTTAGTGAAATTTGAAGCTTTATAATCAATTTATTGAATGCTATTCTTACATCCAACACTTTAGACAGATTAGAAGCATTTTTTGCATCTTAAAACATGAAAAGTCTTATTAGACACTAAAACATAAAATTTTACATTTACAGCTATTTCTGTAGGTGTGTTCAAACTTATGTATGATCCGCATTTAATTTTTTTTTTTAATTGAGACAGGTTTTGCAAATTTCCCGATTAGATGGTTCGATAAGCCGACGTTTTTTCCCCGACTTACTCTCCGGATCTTCAATTTGTTATCCGAGATTATCCCTACATGTTTTTTCATCGGCCCTAAGCTGCGAACCGAGTTTTTCAGCTTCTCCCCTTTATTTTTGGCCATTTGCTCCGCCAACACGGTTACCACCCGGCAACTGAATATGTAAAGCCCCGCACACGCCGGCCCCGCACCGCAACCTACTCCGATTTTCATTCAAATGTTTCCGAGCACGTGCCTACCGCGATTCCTCAGCGTTACCTGCCGCCCGAAATTTGCATAGCAGAATCGAGATGATTTACCTGTAAGCATTCCTATTGAGTGTAATTGTATAAATCCTCAACACCTGAGTCACTAAAACTCTTACAGATCAAATTAAAAACACATGAAACACTAACACAAAACAAATGAGAGTCGTTAACACAGCACTGAAAATCCTTGTCGTCAGTGTAACACAACAAAACGGGACTTAAACTATACAGGTGTTCATAAGTGTAACAATTAAAACGTGTGATATCTTAACGCGGACAACATAACCGGTCCGACTTTGAGCTTCAACTGTTTTGTGCATAATGTTGACAGCCAATGAGGGGCGGGACCAGGAGGGGATAACACCCCCTCCACGACACACCTGAGAGAGTGGGGCTGGTAGTGGGGGCCGCAGCGCGGTTGAACGGACGCGAAGTAAGTTTCGAGCTGTTTTGGTGCTTTGCAACAATTCCATTTTTTCAGCGCGACTGATTGAGCTTCTTCGGCTCTTCTTTCAAAGTTTTTTCATTAAGAGAATATGATTCGGTACTATTGTGCTCCTCACAGCCGGTAATTATGTTATTTCGTCTGATTAGACCCAGGCGATGCTTTTTCGTTATTAATATTAGATGAGTCCCGTAATGGCCGTTTTATCGGCAGGCCAAATGAAAAATTCGTGCGAAGTGCTCAGGTAAATTATATCATTATCCTAATTTGGATCAAGATATGGAGGGATTTATTCATTTCGACGAATCAGAAAGAAATATTTCACAGAACAGTCTGATCCCCAATAAGCTAGTACAGATTCCCATCCACATTTTGATAGTTTATTCAAACTTAAAGATGAATATTGTTAGAATGTTCATACTTTACTTTGTATGTTCATTTAATTATTGTAGTAGATAACAGATAAATATGAACCTCTTCTCAGAGGATTACCATCCATTCACATTTTTATTTGGTGCTTAAAAAGCATTACTTTTAGCAAAAATTATAGTAGTCTTATTCAGGATAGTTAACAATAAGGGAATAATGAACACACGAACGCTAGCAAGGTTCTGAAACTTCAAAGGTTTTTCCTTTGAAACTGAACTTACAGAAGTTTGAGAAAATATGTCTTTATTCAGCAGGCTACTAGTCTCAATCGTTTTTACATTATTTTTATTACCTACCAAAGAACTGCAGTCATTGCAAGAATTGCCTACTAACGACTTGCATCAATTGTTAATGCTGCAGTGTGGTAACAACTTACAAGACTGTATTTATATTGTACTTTTTGATAAAAATCCCTACCAGTTAACTTCTGACTGAAATATGACTCCATAAAATAATCGCTTGCGCTTTCATTTTTCAGTTTACAGCTGCCTTTTCGACCAGGTGAGAAGATTACTTTGCTACTCGGTGTTACGGGTGACGATCGCAAAATGTCTTCGTCGCCTGCTGAAATAAAATTATAATCGGGCACGACCATGATGGATCGCTCCATTCCAAAGAACCTTTATCGATAACGTGATATTGCCGACTGCCGTATCTCGAGCAATACAGTTATCACATTGTAGCTTTTACTCCAAGAATTTTGTCAACACATTGGACGGCTATATACTTAAATATATTCTTCAACTTCACATTTATATCATCCTGCAATGCATGCATTCATTTGTTATACCTGTAATCTTCATATCAAAATATATGCGACTATTTACATGGGTATGTCTGCGTCTTCATTTGAATATTTTTCACTCAGCGACAGTGCAATCCATTTATTTGTGGGTAGGCGCGTATTTACAAAATAAAATAAAATCTACCTAGGCCAGCACGTGACAAAATATATTTGAATAACAATTTTGTCGTGTGCTTTGAAGCTTTGCATATCTAGCGCCAATTTGAATACGTTTAAGAGTTACCCTTTGCAAAAATGCAACTAGAAAGGTTGATTATGGAGTTTAGTGAGTAGAATCGCTGTATCTGTAATCAATACTTAGGTACGTTCTTTTATTGTGCAGGAAATCTATATTTACTGCATTCTTTGAAGAAAAACTATCTATATTTAGGTTGGATCAGATGAAATTAAAACTATGTTGAAAATTCGCATAGAAGGAAGAATGTAACCACTTGTATATAAACAAACTAATTCATTGTTTCAAGAAAGAATCTAAGGAAGAATACGAAACAGTAAGAAAAATCTCAAGGAATTCAAAGGATTTTAAAATACAGCTCCAGGTGAAGGTAAGGTAAGTGAGGTAAGTCCAAGAAGGACTGTCCATTAAGAAGAGGTCATTTGTGATTCTGTTAAAAAACTTACTACATTTAAAAGCTGTTTATACACCTTTGTTGAGCTTTAACGTAGCGAAAATTGGTCATTTTCACATGACGGCAAATCATTTGCATGACAAATATTGTTTATTGTACACAAATTAACTTCTACTAAACGAGTTATATTTACATGTGACCATAATTGCAGGCGATACGCTTTTGTTTGAAATATCCGACACAACTAATTTGTCTGTTGATTTCGAGTGTCACGACGTGCATAATTTCCCGAGCCGATATTTTTTAAAATTGAAGTTTTAATCATTTTGCCGTTCCCGTGAAAGCAGCACACAAAACGCATTCAGGAATTAATTAATTTAATAAATGTCAAACAAAAAACGCTCTTTGAACAGTTCAGGAATCAATGGAAGTGGAATACCATTTGTTGCCTTTCCTTTAGATAGAAATTATTGTTTTTTCTATTTAAATTCTGAAACCTACAATTACTCATTGTTCAATTTATGTGCCCAGTCATTAGTGGTAATGACCCAAGTGACTAAATTGTCATTTAGTAAAATCGTTTTTGCTACTCCTTATTAGTGAACGGTTTTTGACTTGTGCTCTGTCTCGTAATAAAGATCCAATAAAATATATTTAACAGTAATTTAGACATCGGAAAGTTTGTGGCGACAATCAAATAAACAGTAGTAACACAGCCAGGCTGACAGGACAGGCATAAGGGTGCCGCTAGATACGTATCGAATAAATTGATCGACGATGCGAAGCTTCAGATTAATTATTTATTACAACTGCTTTCCTTATGAGTAAGAAATTATTGTTTTTTTATGTTGGTACTTATTATTACGTACTATATCTATATATTTATTTTATGGTAAGTTCCATGTGAACCGTTTAGTGTAGAAAAATAGACACCGCCCCTTTTTGTTTCATTCTGTTAGGCCAATAAGGCAACGGTTGTGACACTTTTTGTTTGAATAAAACTACATAAAAGAAAACCCGACCTACAGCCTACCCTGTACCACATTGTAGCCGCCCTGACATTTCTGATCTCTAGTGATTACTTACTGAGATATTTATTATAAAGATTTTTGTTTTCTATGTATACAAATTTAGTTTGACGACGAACCAGTGATTAGTCAATTGATATTTATGCTAAAAAAGTTTTTTGAATTTAAAATAATTTATCGATAGATAATCTTTCTCGATCACGCAAGTCTGTGTAGAAATTCTTCTTGCACATTATGAATTATTTCTGGGGTAACTCTGTGTATTTCATCTATAATACAATTTTGGAGTATTCTAAATTATTTGGTCTATTAACGTACACTTTGGACCTTAAGTATCCCCATAAAAAATAGTCCAGGGAATCTCGCGGGCCATTCTATCGGTCCTCGTCTGCCGATCCACCTCCTAGGAAAACAATTGTCCAGAAAATCTCGAACAGGGCGCGCATAGTGCGGAGGTGCACCGTCTTGCTGAAACCATATGGTGTCATCAGGAATATCAGGGTCATTATCGTTAGGAAAAATTACTGCAAGCGCTGGAACAAGGTCATTTTGTAAAAACTCTAAATATCTTTTTCCTGTAAGGGTTCCTTCAAAGAAGAAAGGCCCTACTATTTTGTTGTCAACTATTCCAGCCCACACATTCAATTTCTGTGGGTGTTGAGTATGTGTCTCTGCCATTCAATGAGGATTTTCCCGACTCCAATACCTGCAAATTTGACGGTTCACTGTACCATTGAGACAAAACGTGGCCACGTCTGAAAAAACTATTTGCCGGTGTAAATCTCTATTTACTTGACATAAATCCATCATAATTTCACAAAAGTGTAAGCGGCGGTCGGGATCATCTTCATTGAGTTCCTGCACAAGCCGAATTTTGTAGGGATGATATTTTTCCTGCCTCAGGATACGTAGCACTGTGGTCTGACTAATTTCATTGTTTAATGCAACCAATCGTGAAGTATTATGAGGATCAAAATGTTCTGCTTGCGATCTTCACTAACGTTTGGACATCCAGGTTTTGGAAGATCTACAACATTGCCAGTTTCTCTAAATTTAGATTCTATCTTACTGACTGTTGATTGGCTGAAACAGCGATCTGGATGTTTTTCATTAAATAAATCGCAAACTTCCTGCTGCGTTCTAGTCTTATCCCCGCATCCGATAAGAATTAAAATTTCAATTTTTGTGTGACAGTTAAATGTGCCATAATACTTTAAATTCAACAATAATTTTTATATCGTTTACAATACTTAGAAAGTCGGTATGACAGTGACACTTTGTAAAGATTTACACCTACGTGATCCATAAAAAACTTCAGGCATTTCGAAAAACTAAGTTTGATAACGTTTTTGCTTTATTTTAATTGATTTGGGTTTTCTAACATTCAATCGTCATTTACTCGAAAACTTTCCTATGTAAGATGGCAACATTTTAATATTGTCGGATCGACAATGAAACGATTTTTCAGAATCAAGAAAAAAATAGGGGGTTGTTATTTAAAAAAAATGTCGATGACGTCATTACTTGAAAACAAATGACGGTTGAAAATCGCCTTTTCTGCTAAAACATGTATTTTTTAAATTAAAAATCGACCTGTTCGAGGATTTTTCCCAAAAAAAAATTTGTTTCGTTTTTACTGAATTTATTCCATACTTTAGGCGCGTACTGTATATTAGAAATGCGCAAGATCGATTTTTTCGTATTAAATTAACGTAAATTTTTAACGGAATTATCAGGTTTTAATACGCCGCCCCACCTTCCACACAAACCCGGTGTTTTTCATGGAACCTTACTCGACGTGTTGCTAACAAAACCACCTTGCCGAGATCTAATTCCAGTGCGGAA